ATTTATTTATAACTTGTAACATGCACAAAATAAAAAAAGAAAATAATATTAGTCACATGTATTCACAATTTATAATTACAAAGATCAGCACACGTACACGTCTGTCGTTGGAGAATCTCGCACATCTGAGGGTCTGACCCTGCCTATCCTTCTTTTTAAGCGCTCGTCTTCGCTCTTCCCCATTCTCTTTCCTCTATCGCTCTAATCCATGTATGCCTGTGCATACATCATAATACGCGCTCACGATACTTCCGATTCATCACTTTTCCGTCGTGGAGTTCCCATTTTACAATTACATAACTCAGCCTGGTGATAACGTAGAAAACAGACAGATAGGACGTCGATATAAGTCACAGNTCGCTCTAATCCATGTATGCCTGTGCATACATCATAATACGCGCTCACGATACTTCCGATTCATCACTTTTCCGTCGTGGAGTTCCCATTTTACAATTACATAACTCAGCCTGGTGATAACGTAGAAAACAGACAGATAGGACGTCGATATAAGTCACAGTTGTGATTTCACAGATTCTAGACAGCTTGATAGCCCGAATGGCCCCAGGCTTTCGCCCGTGCACGCTAAGTAACTTTCATTACAAGCATTTAGCTTTCTGAAGTCTATGACAACAATTGTTTGGCATTGACGGCCACGAATTTCGTGCCAATAAGCTGCCTCGACTTGTTCAATTATGTTATCAACCCAATTTCATATTTATTTTCACATTTTCACTTCGCGGTCCTTCTCTGTTCTTTTTCCATTATTTACACGAGTAGGTCATTTCATTGTTATCCACATTTGATATCATCATCTATCACATACTGGCATGACACTCTTGTCTGTTCGCTACAACTGCCAAGAATTAACGTGATTGGCGAAGCGTAGTGACAGCGGGCCAACAGAGAGCTTGGTCCTTGCCATAATGCGGTTTGCGCGCAAATTTTCGTACGCGCATTAATCAAACCGAATAGTTTGGCCGAATATACTATTCGTTACAACACTAGTGTCTACCATTTTCCAACTGACACTTCTTGAACATTTGACTTTGATGGGTGGTGCTTCATTTGAGAAGACCCAAACTGCAAACTGTCTCTTGCTTTTGGATTCATACTGGTAGATCTAGGTCTCATCACCAGTCACAATGTCCCACACAAATTTTGAACTTTCCTGTTGAAATTTTTCCAGTATATAGTGGCAAAAAAGAAACTTGTGTGGAATGCCATAAAAGTTTTTTTGCTATTCATTTAGAGAATGAAGCACCTACCGAGATACGATCATCCTGACGTAAAGATGATTGTGCAAGATACCATTCACTGCCGCCAATCCAATACCAAAGATATGCTCAATATCCTTATGGGTTATATGGGGGTCTTTTCTAAGAAGTTTCTCAAGATAAACCACATTTTTCAGAGTCATTGCAGTTACAGGATAGCTGCTTTTCTCTTCATCTTTAAGGCTGTTTCTGCCACATCTAAATTCTCAAACCACTAGAATACAGTAGAGCATCGGGACTCAGGTTGGTCAGATAACTGAAAAAATTGGATAACTGAAAAGAATGAAAAAAATACATTATTAGTATAGTATATTAGTATATTGCTATTAATCAACTTCGCGTTGAATTTTCATCGATGTTAAGCCTAACAATATTTTTTAAAATAATAATCGTCGCTATTGTATTATTAAAAATTATTTTAAAATTATTTTATTGCTCACAAAACAACCAACCAGTCATAATTAGAAAATTAAGTCTCATTTAAATACTGGCCTCCCTTCAACGGTCGAGTCGATGTTGCCAGCTAAAACATGCAAAAATTTAACGAAAATAATATTAAAGTAGCCAAGACATAGTTAAATAGTGTAGTGCCACATCACTAGCGGACATTTGAAATTTGCTGACTAGAACGGTCGGTTAACCGATGTGACGGTTAATCGGGGGTCGGATAATCAATGCTCTACTGTACTTTTATTTTTGATCGACAAGAATCGGGAAATGCTGCTTGCAAACAGTGGAGGCACTAGGACTCCGACAAACTAGGTTTAAAGTTGTAAAACATCATTGCTCAGAAATGTTCGCACATCAGCTCTATTCCAACATCCAGATATGGTGGCATCTCCAAGATCAAGTACTTCCCACACACAGGAAATTTCAAGAACAAGTATACTGTTGAACTTATTGCTCAGGAAATGTCTGGCAGTAAAGTATCAGACTGTTTTTTTTTTTTTTTTCTGTATTCAGTGGTTTCACATATCCGGAAATTTTCAGAGTGGCCCTCTTGTGTGTGTGTACGTTGTTTGTTTTGACTTCTCTTTGTCTGTACATAGTAGCTTCATGATGGAGAGGAGACATTTTACTGTTGTAGTAACATCATTGTTCCTAGCATAATGGGTTAAGAGAAAAGCTATTATTTAGCCAGTTACACATCTTTCCTTTAGTTTTCTGGTCAGCTTTTTTGCCATCTTTTCCAGGCCCTGCTTTGTAACTATCAATATTTAAAGTTCCCCTAATAAGGCCTCCCAATGTAAGAGAAACCACAATTAATTATTGTTTATATAATGAATGAAAAATTTTTACTGTCTGAGTGTTATTAACAAAGAGTGCATTATTTCCCTCTTTGTTAAGGGATCCTGACTTGTGGGCCTTACTGTCTTACAATCGCCAATGTGTAATATAGGAATTACAGTTAGTAGGCTTCTTGAATACTCTTTTGTGATAACCCTCTCCTAAAATATAGATGTAGAGGTCTATGAAATTGGACATCTATTGAATTGTTATTTATAACCCCTGCACTTTATATCTATTATTCCATATTACAAGAATTTCATCAACACATCAACAAATAATTTTTATATTATGCACTTATTTATTAACTATCGGATTTTCTACGCAGGAGACCATTCTCTCAGCAGTGTCACTAGAAACAGGTGAACGTACTGGCACACCTATTTATAGTATACACTGTCTCAAACAAAATATGAATTTGTCTAAATTAAATCCAGATAACCAGTCACTTTTTTATACTTATTCTTATTAATATCCATTCTTTGGCAAATTAAAATTTTTTTTAATGCAATTGCTGCTTTTCTCTTGATTGAAGGAAATAAATTGATGTAATCCATGACTGTCAACAAATCACTCTCTTCTTGTTTCAGTTTTCTTAGGACTATATATTATTCAGTGCTGCTTACTATATATTCAAATCTAAGAAATTGTAAGGTTCTTTTCAGTTCACTATTGGGGTATGTCTTTTATAACACTGGTCTTAGTGGACAATCTGGCTTGTGTGTCTTGATCCTGCTGAAGAGTAGGTGCAACAGCTTTCTGCAGAGTGGGAACTTCAAAAATGTCAGAAGCTCCTTGTCTTTGGTTAGCAACTTCACCTTTTATAGCATAGAAGCCATAGGATCCCTATTAAGTGTAGTGCTGGGGTGGGATCCTGTGGTACATTGAGAAAGATCATCTGGCATGTAATGTATCATGTGATTTCAGTTCATCACCTGTCTTTTTCTTCAGTCAGCTTCTTTAGATTTACTCTAATTAAAACATATTCATTTCATTTCTTTAAATATTGTAATTCAAAGTCTAAAACTGCATAAACATTTTTAAACATAAATAAGACTACTATATGACATATAGACTCAAAAAGGTTTGTCAACTCCTGTATCTAATTTGGAAATGGTTGTCTGAGAAAGATGACAATGTGTCATTGAAAGTACTAACACTTTGCTTATAAAAATGTTTAATCAATCACTTTTTAATACTGGGATAGAATAAGCATGCACAACCAACCAATACCAGTAAATATGAAATTAATAAATAAAGAGATATATACTAAATGTTTAATACTGAAAGACAGTTTGTGTGTGTGAATCAATCCATATCCATTAAATCATATTTTATTTGCATTCTCTGTTACTAGGCATCTGTTAATGTTCCAGAACATTTTTAAGTGAATTATCTTAATATAATTTATTTTATTATGTTAAAAGGTTTTCAAAAGTAATGTTTTATCACAGTATATTATTGTAACTCCTGTAGTTAGAAAACTTCTTTCAAGATTTTATACCCAACTCTGGACACCAATTTGGTTGGAGATGTCCTCATTTTCAAATTTTTCAATATGGTAATCATATTTTAGAACAAGCATATTTAGTTTATTGTTTGTGAAATTTATTATATCAAGTCTATAAAATTGAAGGTCAACAATATTAACTTTAATAAATTGTTATTAATATTGATTTTATGTTGGTTTTAATAAAAATTAAGCAAGCTATAAATGTTTGTATTATAAACACACATTAAAGACAACACATTTCTTACATTTTTTAAAACAATTCCTCTGTACTTTACTAAAAAATTGAGAAAACACCAAATAAGGCACATAGTTCCTCAACCATAACTTTAATTCATGTCGTTTTACTCAGAAGAGAGTCTAAAAGAGCTGTAGTTTTTCCCCTCTTGGTGATGATGGATATCATAGTCTGAAATTACTTGGATTTTCTAGAAAATTTTTTGCTCTAAAAAAAACAATATTGAATAAGTAGCAGCAAATGAAATGTTATATACATGAAATTCTATGTAAATCCATTACTTTTTTAATCTATAAACATCCAACAATAATACTTATTGGTCTCATAATTTAAACATCTAAATATTTGTTCAAGTAAATATATCATTCTGTACTAATAATGCAGATTGTTACTTTTTCACATTGTTACTATTATTCTCTGTTCAAAGAAAGATTTTAGCAAATCAAAAAGTTATTATATTATAATATTTACATATTTAAAATTAATATCCTCTATTTAATTAATTTAATAATTTTATCATTTAAGAAAATCATTTAGTGAAATAAATATTTTTTTTCTATATTTCTTAACTATTGATTCCTATGATAATGATAGTGATGATGATAAAAATACAATTTAAAAATATTATCTTTGACTAACATTGATTATAATTATTTATGAAATTAATTATTAAATATATTATCAACTTCAGGTGAAGAAAGAATTCGAATGTTTGGTGTTATGAAGTATTTAAAAGCTCATTTGACAGAACAGAAATAAAGTAAAATGTTCTTTTACATGGAAAGTTTGAATGTATGTGTTTTTACATTAGTTTTTCATTAGTGCAAGTGCAGTGTGAAGTGCTATTTGTAATTTGTGATGTAACCATATTTATTAATAAGCTACAACAAATCCTGTTTTAGAGTTTTTTTTGACAAAAGTTTTTTTTGTCAAGTAGAATCTGAAGAATTGCAAGTTTAAAAAAAATTTAATTTAGGTAATCATTGCTTCACTAGTGATTAGAATCAATTTTTAAAATTTGATTTTCTATAAATTTGTTTTTCTATTTTATATACATTTTATTACTTTATATATATAGATATATATAGAAGTAGAAAATTTAAAATGTTTTTCATTTGATATTTTTTTGTAATGCAGTAATATGAAAAATCATGTGTACCAAAATCTCTTGTAACATTCCAGTAATAGTCTAAGTTATTGTTGCATACTGAATGTTTAAGTATGCATTTAGAATTTTGTATCTTAGATTAAAATTTAATATTGTCAGTATTAATCATATCATAAAATATTTAGATGTATTCAAGTTCTTATATGTGAAAATAAAAACAGTAATCTAATGTTTCATTTTCATTGATAATTTGTTAATACTTTATAATAATATGTAATCAATTAACATATTTTTTGTGAACTCATACAGAAATGTTTGACTAATGAAATATTTGTTTTAATTGCTTTAATGCTTTTTCAAGTCAGATTCCTAATTTATAAAATCCAGTGACCTAGAATATAATGCATTTTTTAAAAATTTTTAATAATTTTGCATTTGTAATAAATAATGTAATTTGCATGTTTGTATATTTCTAAAAAAAAAAGTCAATTTTTGTTTAATTTTCAAAAATTTCATGTTTAAATTTAAATTAGTTTTCTTTGAGTCACTAGTGTTCATCAGTATTCCAGTATTTATTGATGATATTTTTTTTCTTTTCCATTCTTGTAATCATTTCAACTTTGAACACTGAAGATCACTTATGTACTTAACATATGTATCATTATGTCCAATATGGCAAGCAACTCTACTATCTAGACACACACTACAGTAGAGTCTCGCTAGTCTGAACTAATTGGGACCGAGCCCTGTTCGGATTAGCCGAATAATTGAAATAATGCAGAAGCAAGCAGTAAAACAGGTCCAGTTTATATAGATCCAACACCATCAATGACTTTTGTTTCTGTTTTTGTGTGTAAGTACAGTATAGATCTGCTGTTTTATTAGGTCATGTCAAACACTGATTTATTAATTTTGTACAGTATTAATACAGTATTACAATAAAATACAATTTTTTTTGTGGAATTCTATATTTTTTATACCATTAATACCATTTAAATTCAACTGGAAAATACAAAAAAATGTATATTTTGCAAGCTAAAACATTTCCTCTCCACCAACTGAAACATGTTCAGATTAGCAGTGTTTGGACTAGTGGGACTCTACTGTATTAAACAATATCATGCAAACAACTTTTTCAATTTCTAACACAAATTTGTGCTAGAAAGTGAAAGTTTGTTTGCATGATATTGTTTGATTATTTTCTAGTTTGGATTTCCTTTTTCATATCACGCTATTAAAACTATAAAATGTGACAGTTTCTGCAGTTTCTAAACTGCACACATTCTATAAAGCAGTTGGATACTTACTACTTTCTCTTTTTGAATTATTTAAACTTATACTAAGAATAATTGGAATTACTATAATTTCATGCAGATAGCCTGCATCATCATATTTTATCTGCAGAAAATCACTAGAACAAATAAAACCTTTATACAACCCACACCATTATATATCCTGTCTCTCTGGAGTAGCCATTGAAAGTATGACACTTACCAGTATCCAGTTTAGAAGGTATCATCTCAAACATTAAACTGTTTGTTTTATTTTTGTGTAGATGTAATTATAAAGCAGAATATTGAGACAGTTCTAGACTTTGTAAGTGTCAAAAATGCAAGATGACCATCAAACCACACAATTCTTTTATTCTATTAGTTCAGTTCTGCTTTATTTATTATCATCATAATAATAATTATAAACTCATAATTAAGAGCCAAAATAAACTCAGAAAAAATTAAATGAAAAACAATTTTAATGTCCATAATATTCAATTACACAAGTTTGAGAGTTGATCACTCAATTATATTTCATTTAATAAAAGATTGAATGATAGCTGTGCTTCCTTATGGTAAAGAATTGATGAATTGTTATTAAATATTACTTCAATAAATATAAAATGAATTTCTAAACTGTGGTGTTTAAAAAATGAAGGAATTAATACAAAATGATAATGGCATTATCATTATTAATTTTTATTTTGTTATCAAAATGGCAGAAAGTAACACTACTGTGTGAAAAAACATTGCATTGTTAAGCTAGTGATATCATTTTAAACATTATTTTAATTTTCAAAATCACTTTATAGCAATGAAGAATTTATAGCCTATTAGCATTATAATTGAGTCATGTTGTAATTCAATAAGATTGACTAACCAGTTATCAAAAATAACTTTGAAAAGTCATCTTTTGTTGGCCAGATTATAATTATACAGTAATAAATGCTAAGCTAAATTTCAAAAGAATAGAAAAAATTTTAAATATTGATGATATCCATCAAATACAAATTCAAAAGTTTGCTTAGCTTCTAAAGAGGTTACATAAGAGAACTGCTTAGGTTTTAAAAAGAATCTTCTAAATTAATGCTATAGGTTGCAAACCCCATTTGGGCTTGTGAAAAATTTGGGTGTTTGCAAACAATTTCACTTCAATCCAAAATGTTCCTCTGTCAGATTCTTCAATACTGATTAGTAAAAATAATTATGAAAACTATTTTGATTTAAAATATTTAATTGAAATTAAAAATTACAGATACAAAACAAGTATAAAGCACTCATACATTTTTTGTTGCTGTGATCTGCTTCTATTTTTCAATTAAATCTACACCTCAATTCAGTCTCATTCTACTACCATTTACTTTTTCAAACATTACATTGCACATAGCGTCATGTTAGATAACACCAGCAATGTTTTGTGCTCTTGAAAAAACATGATATTAAAATTTTTATTTCAGTAATTAAACTAAAATTTGTTTCCATCATTCCTCAGCGTGTAAATATTAAATCTGTACATACATCCTTGAATTATATATTGTGGCAAAGGATTGTGTTTTCCTAAACTTCTTGGATTCTCAAAAATCTGGAATTCCCAAATCAGTAAAAAAATTTTCAAGAATCAACACACTTTAAAATTTTTGAGATTTAAAAAATTGATTATAAAAGATTTGGACTAATTAGAAAAAATGATGCAATTTAGGATTAGAAGATACTATTGTCTCATATTTACTTTCACTTAATTTTTTAAACATATTAAAATTTGTATTTATGTATATTGTATTTTTAACAATAGTACATAATAAAATTTTTTAGTAAATTATATATTTACTAAAAATTATTATTAAAATAACTTTTCAATATACATGAATAATCTATTGATTTATCTGACAAACATGTCCTTTGTTTTGATACAAAAATTCCAGAATTGGAGAAGTTACTTTCATTTTGTGTTGATGTTGGTTTTATGCAAGATAAAGAATTTTTGAATGCAGGCATATCCCAGGTTACAATTATCTTGCAATAAAACAGACTGCATATACAACCGTCATATATTTGTACCCCTCCCATGGTCCAACTAAACTATCACCACCGATACAATGCTTCATCTGTTCCAAGTGTTCCATCTGTCCAGTTTTTGCATCGTATGTTCAATTGAAGACCAGCTATGTCTGGGTTTTAAGAAAATTTGGCAAATCATTAATTATTTTTTGAATAATATAGTTGATTTTACATAATGTAAGAGTAGTGACAATTGTGGGCACTAATCTCAAAATTTGTTAAATATTATATAGATGATATTGAAACTTCTGATATGATAACTAATCAAGTTTTTCAACTGGGGAGTAGACTGAATTTAGAAATTGATATGGCAGATATTAAACAGCTAATTGAAACTCATGAAAAAGAATTAGCAAATGCAGAATTGATGGAGATATTACATAAAGAAAATATTCTAAGGATAACTGATGAAGACAGACAATGATATAACACCCCATCCAACATTAGTCAAAACATTGGGAATTAAAGTGATTGCATTAATTTTTTTAAAAATTCAGCAACAAGTTGATTAACTTTCCCAGCAACATTTGATGGTATTATCTGTTATGATATGAAGGTATTTTTCAACCTCCACTAATGCATGAAAAAAAAATGGAGGCATGTGAGACATGGCAGGATGCTCCCCTAGTGAGTAGTATATTCACTCACCACTTAGTGTTGCACCAAGCTATTTTAGACAGTTTCTACTGCACACAAACATGGTGCTGCCACTCCAGTCTCTTGCCAACTGTGAAGTACAAGCAGTAATTCAATTTCTACAGACCAAAGGGTTGAATGGAGGTGAAATTCATCAAAGGATGTGTAATATGTATGGTGAGAACTTCATGAGCTATGGATATGTGCGTGAATGATGCAGAAAATTCAAACAAGGATGTGACAGCATTCATGATGCAGGTGGTCAAGGGAGGAAGTGTATGATGACAAACAATTTGGTGGACAAAGTGGATCAATTGGTGCATGAAAGGTGTCGGTTTACTATTTCTGAGCTCAGTGAGGAGTTAACTCAAATTTCAGAGTCTACATCGTATAACATTGTAACGGATAAGCTTGGGTTCAGCAACTTGTATGCATGATGGGTTCCGAAGATGCTCACAGACTATCACAAGACTCTAAGGATGGGCACTGCCTTGACATTTCTGCAGCATTACCACCAGGATGGAGAGATGTTCTTGGACAAGATTGTGACGGGATGAGATGTGGGTGTTGTTCAAAAATGTCAAGACAAAAAAGCAGCTAAAACAATGAATGCACACTTCATCTCCAAACAAACCAAAAAAATTCGAATGATCGTTTTCTACCAACAACTGTTTTCTGGGACCAAAGAGACATTTTGATGACCAAAATTTATGGCACCTGGGACAACCATCAATGCAACCTGTAACTACCTTCTACAAATAAAGTGGTTTTGTTCTCCATTCTTGTTTTTTTATTGTGGGTTGGTGGAGGTTGAAAAAACCCTATTATGTAAAAAATTTTATATTTTTAACTATTAAATAAATTATAAAATGGCAAAAAGCTTAATTTTGAGGGTAGGAATAGATTTTATAAAAATTTTAAATGGTAATAACAAGTAAAATCATCATTAAGTCGATTCTACTGGAGATACACACGACCCCCTTTATCTCCCCACCCTCTTGACCTTTAATCAACAAAATTTAATAGCATCAATCTCCTAAGAAACAAACTTCCAAATTTTCAGAAATTTTCGAAAAAAAGTACAAGAGTTATTAAATTGCCATCAAAATAAAATGTATGTATTTAACTGTGCCTTCTATAAATTTGCAAAGTTATGTAAATCTATTGTAAAATATGTATATGAAGTTACATCCAAGTTTTTAGTTGTGTTCTATTGGTTTATTGATGTTATATGAATTTATTTAAAAT